ACGTTCTTCTCTCACCTAATTTCTCATGAGACAATTGTGTCCGTGGGAATGCCTTTTACTCATTTTTTACATTTATTCAACCAATGACGTACCATGAGCGATGAAGGAAATAAAAACTTCCAAAACAGAAATAAGCATATGTTAGATCTCAGATCCCCTCCTCCCTCCCGCGAACGGCATCATGACATAGGCGACGTGGCCTGTTGCCGGTTGGAAGTTTCGATGCGAGATGCAGGATCCCACAGCGAAAACGTCTGCAGTACGACTGAAACAGCATATTCCAATGGGAGTGCGCGGCATCGTTAAATCACACGCACTCTTCTGAGGACATAGTGACTCCGAGATTCACCTATTCGCAAATCGGTGATTATGGCTAACGCTCTCGCTCGTAAAGCCGTAAGAAAACGATTCACTCTAAGAAATGCGACTGCGCGTTCTGTTGCGCTACCCCTTCACCCGTTGCCAAAAGTGGGACACACAGATTTTGAAAAAAAAAACAATACGTTTTAAGATCTTAAAATGACTCCGAATTACGGTGAATTGAAGAAGACCACTTGTGATTCACTGACTCACTTGCATAAATCCATCAAAGAAAAAACTAGCAAAGCCAAACTCAAAGAGTTCACTGTTACTTAGCCGCACCTACTCAAGGCGGGAGATACATAATTTAAATGTGGCATATACTAACCATGCCATAATTGCGAACTAAAGTGAAACAACAGCAGCTCCGAGTGAAATTGCTTAGGTAAAGTAAAGGAATTGAATGGAATATGACAGAAGGTCGGCACTATTCTGTCGCGGTTTCCTTGTTCAAGAAGGAAACACCGTCTCACTCTTGTATGAGTTTTTCTATCGAAAAAAGGGTACTGTACTCGTGCCCGCCAAGTGAGACAGCGTTAATCTCCAGTTTTGAAACTTGGCGGATTCACGAGGAGAAATCTATTGTTATCAGTCACAAGAATCGATAAATAGCCAAACCGCTGAAAATGCTCACAAGGTGGGGCAGATTCATCGATGCGCACGTTATCCTTTCAGCAAAATCGCCGAATCTTTCAAAACGTTAGCTTTGCAAATTGCACATTGTGTAATTGTGTTCACATAGAAAACGCGAAAAGTGACGACAGGAAGGAGCGGACTCGCATCACTTATCTCACTAGTATCAATGATCGCGAGATCGCTGGACACGAGTTATGACCGCAAGGAGAGAGGTGACAACAGATGGAAAGCCGTGCCGCGAAAAGTAAGAATAATTGGTAATAGAAAGATGGTACAGAATGACCCATTGAATAAGTAAAGAATGATCTCAATCCGCACTCATTAAGTAATGATATCACATTTTTCGAATCCTTGCTTTGTACCACTATTTAAAAACACGACTAGAATCAAAACGCTATTATACCGCGAGATATTTCTGCAAAAGATGACAAAATAACACGACTCACAAGGAGGATTAGGCGGCCCAAGCACGTTGGAATTGTATGAACTGTTCTGATACACCGCTGGAGCCGAACTCCCAACAACTGTTTGATGTGTTGATCCCGTAGTTACCTGAATAAGCATTACCAGCCGCTTATTGAGCACGACAATTTGGTCGAATTTGGTCGGTGGAAATGAGAGTAGAAGTGCTAAGTTGCACCAATGAAGGAGAATGCCGACTTGTTTCTGCGCTTGGAAGATTCAACGACAGCTGATGTTATCAAAATGGGCGCAGTGTTTTTTGTCTGATAGAAGAGCTAGAGCGCTGATAGGCTGGGACCAGCTACGTCAGATAAAATTGGTCCTAGCCACAGTTAAGGCCCTCTGAAGTTTCTTACCACTACTGGTGATAGTTCCTTCATAGCACGATGTATCGCGTACCTTATAACCTTAGACTGCGACACGAGCAAAACAATGGCCCAAACAAAGAAACCGCCTGGATGGAGGGGAGGGATTGGGTCCGAAAGTCTCAGCGTGGGCAGTGCAGTCCTCGTGAACTGCGCTAAGCCCACGCGGAGTCTTCTGAAGTTACAAATGTAACACTTATTCCTAAGACACTTCTTTGAGTGTATTGTATGTTGTATAGGTTTTATGCCGCATATCGCGAAGAAGTGATTGTGAGATCACGATATGAGCACTTCTTAGGAGGGAAGGAGTTCTGGAGGTGGGAGGCTAACCCCTTGATTAGGTTAAGCCTAGAGGGGAGGTGGGAAGGACGCCAGATGAATCCTCCTCTCTCCAAACGCTTAATTCTAAACGTTTCTAACGAATGGAAATGTTGTTTTGGTTTGAACGCGTTGGGCGCTCTCCACCAGGATATGCCCCCTAGTAAAATAGATCCTTAATAGATTACTACTGAAGTCAATTGAAAGTGAACTGAAAAGTCTCCTTATGAATCGTTACCTGTTTGAACTGAGTGGAATCCGTAGCGGAACGAAGTTAGGAGAGCGCGTGAAACCAGCCAAGGATGGTCCCGGAAAGGGAGGAATCGGTGCAGCTTGGCCGAATGCTGTGTCATACGGTTTGAAGGCGGACGATGGACCATTGTACTGTGCAAAGGATGGACCGTTGGAGTCGACTTTTGGAGTCGATGCCGAAACCTGGAAAAGTATAGATTCAGCACAACTACAGTGCACATATTAGTGCCAGTGCCAGTGGGTAGCGACCAGAACGCCTACCTACAGAACACTAAAATTTGCCACGAGTAAATCTAGTTGAAAGTGGGTCTAGGATTGTCCAAAAGATCATATGTGGCCATATCACGCCAGAAGGCGCCCTATCAACAACAACTGAGACGCCAAAAGTATCCAGTAAAGCCAACTGTACACCTCCGCGGTCGATCAATTGGCACTGGATTTGTCTTGGATATCAAGACACTCACTAAAAAATCGGCCGGCGCTAGCCTCGAATCATTTGAACTGTTGAACATCATCATTGACGACGACGGTATCATAACCACGTGCGGTCTGCGTTCGCATTTTTGATGGGAGTAGGACCCAACAAACCCAAAAGGGACTAACAACAGCACATGCTTAATTTAGCTCAAGTGAATTATAAGAAGAATCGCTCATCTTCCCCATGCAACTAACGCAACATCAATGAGCACGGAGTTGTTATTGTTTGTGCACATGCCCAAAACTTCGAGATTAACGAATAGCAATTTCTAAAGAGCAACCTCCTAGCGGTCAGAATAACTAATTTTAGCGCGTAGCTTCTCAGCTTGAGCTATGATGCAGCACACACTGATGATGCACTACTCCCAACTTGGTTTGACAACACTTTCAAACCCAATGCGTAACATACAATGTGAGCCTGTAACAAACCATGAGAATGAGTATCACATTGCTTGTTACACATTAAGTCAGCGCTTTGGGATAGAACAGTATTGAGCTTACAAAACTCCTGATTAATTTACTCGCATATTTTTGGAGCTCCAACATTTTGAACGTTGCATTTACAACATTACTTTTATTATGAATTCACGGCACAACACGACTTACGTTTCTACTGGGCGGAAAGCCATTGACCATCTGTGAATTTGGTGTTTGATTGGGCATAGTAGGAAATTGCGGAATTCCTGACGGTATCGATGTCGTTGGTGGGGCTTGGAATGCACTCCTCTGCGCTTCATTTCTGAAAAGTAAGATGCCTACGCCAATGATTTGTTTTCGATTTGAGAGCTTCACTGAAAATGAAATTCGGTCCGTTTTTCAATGCTTACGAGCCCTTCTATGATTAGCACGGGAATTGTGGAGTTCTTAGATGAATTGCAGCTGTAACACAGCGTTGATGGACGGGCAACTATTCTTGCGATCATGCTATGAACTGAAACGTTGGTCGCACACTTTCTCACGGTGTTAGGCTGGTGTCAGAGTCCGCGATCCGTCGCAGGTTTCGCTGATTTTCGCGATTTGCGCGATTCGCGCGACGGGTCACGGAAATCACAAGTGCCCGATCAATACTGCAAGGTGTTCTCCAATCCTGCCGCCACTTCTGCTTGATAGTGATGGCTGAATGACGACTGCTCATGATTCCACTTGTTTCATATTCAGTGTTTCAAATGTTCACACACTTGCAATTTTTGCGATCCGTCGCAGGTTTCGCGCAAATCGCGTGAATCGCGCAAATCGCGAAAATCAGCGAAACCTGCGACGGATCGCGGACTCTGACACAGCCTTATGGACTGATGCGTACGTATGAAAATTGATAGACAACTGCTGCATACCCGTAAAGGAAAGGAAGCGGGATGGAAGAGCCATAATTTAGCGAATGAACACTGTTTAGAAAAAAGAGCGGTGATTAGCAGAACGACCTCCAGCCACACACTATACTGCCCCCCCCCCCCCCCTCCCGTTCTTGCTGTTCTTAGCATTACATCAGCTCCACCAAACCAGGCCCCAAAAATTAGTACCAAGGGCCGTATGCTGAATGTTGGGTAGGGGACGGGGATGGGTGAAATGTTGGGGAGGTTCGTCGCAGGACCCACTGGGCAAGGTCGCACCTTTGATTTTGCAGCTTTGTTTCCATCCTTTTACTGTTTCTGATTGTATATTCGCACGTAAATACCTTTCTTTACACCAAAAGCAGCGATGAAAGAATGGAAACAAAGCTGCAAAATCAAAGGTGCGGCCGTTGCCCAGTGGGTCCTGCGACGAACCTCCCCAACATTTCCCCATCCCCGTCCCCTACCTAACATTCAGCATACGGCCCCAAATGCTGTGGTCAAACGCAGCACGTCTAAACCAGAGATGAAACCATAGCTTCGGATTTTCCCTGAGATTTCAAAGTTGAGGTTTTCTGCTGGCCCATCCACGACATACTCTATATGGACCGTGGTTCACCGATCTGAATAAGTTCTTATAAGAAGTGCGAACTAGGAGTCGATCCGCTCAATAAGTACTAGATATGAGCTAGTATACATCTGATGTTGAAGATAGCTCCGTTGGGAAGCAAATCGACTTCGTTGGCATGAAGTGAAGATGTTCCTTAGCTCGAAATACTCGATGAACGTCCACAAGAGACCCATTGACAACAAGGGATAGGTAGCGTTCATGTGTAGAACGGAAAGATCACATCCACGAAGGGTTGAGCCCAGGCAGCACCCAGTAAAGTCCCTTAAACCTTAATGTGACCTCCAAGACTATTTAAGGATTCATTGCAGGTATCACATGAGCTCAAGGGCAAAGATCATGATTAAAGTGATGTGGTAATCCCACTATAATATAGAAGTAGGAAAGCGAAGAGGGAACGGAAGTTAAGCAAAGGAAAGAAAATCGTGAAATACGAGTCTTCTTGCTCTACGCTGCGAATAAGACTAGGCGGCAGCACGGTGATGCGAGAATAGGTGACTCGCGGAAAGGGTAGAATTGTGAGTAGAGAAAACATAGCAGACCAACATTTCGACAAACATAAGATTTCGACGGTGGGCCAAGCCTGACAGTTTTCATGAAAATTGATTATTTGACTAAAGCCCTTAGGTGGATGTCAAACTTGGCGATTACTCTATCGCAACGGCATTCTGGCCGTTTGCTACACTATGGCCAAGTGGGGCGTGTCGTTACTGACCCGTATGGTTTAAGTTGGGAACACTGCCACTGCTAAGGTTTAGTTCACTAGGACAGAAAGCGACTATTTCGCGTTTCGCAGCGCGGAACTTTTTTCGCTGCGGGAACTCAGGTCCACTCATGGGGCGGTATTCAATCCTTCCCCCAGGGGGATATATCCCCCTCCTCTGATTCAATCCTCTGGGGGGACAAAAAAGGGTTGCGTCATAGGACCTAGCATAA